TAATAATAATAATAATAATAATAATAATAATAATAATAATAATAATAATAATAATAATAATAATAATAATAATAATAATAATAATAATAATAATAATAATAATAATAATAATAATAATAATAATAATAATAATAATAATAATAATAATAATAATAATAATAATAATAATAATAATAATAATAATAATAATAATAATAATAATAATAATAATAATAATAATAATAATAATAATAATAATAATAATAATAATAGACAGTGAGAGAGAGAGGAGGGGGCGGGGGTAAGAGAAAGAGAGAGAAGCAAAAAGACAGAGATAGATCGATAGAAAGATAGATAAATAAAAAGAGAAACACAGAGAGACAGAGACAGAGACATGAGAGAATGAGTAACTGAGTGAGCGAGAACGAGTGAGTTAAAGAATAAGAGCATTAATACATATCGACATGCGCTCAAAACAAAACAGCAACCTACCATTGATAAGATAGCCATCAGGAGTGACTTGAAGGAACTTGAAGTCGAAGTTGGTGACATCCTTCTCACCAAACCCCTCGATGTCCGTCCCCCCCAGCGTCTCCTTCACAATCTCGCGGTCCAGATCAGGATAGGAAATGGTCTTCCTGCCTCTCCGAGCAAGACACAGAATCACCAGGACCAGCACTGCCGTGTCACGAAAAAAACTTTTTAATGAAGTGCTGTCCTGTCTGCTAATGCTCCTTAATATCACTATTATTATTATCATTGCCTTTATATCACTGTTGTTTTTATCATTGCCTTAATATTATAGTTGTTTTTATCATTGCCTTATCATCACTGTTGTTATTATCACTGCCTTAATATCACTGTTGTCATTATCATTGCTTTAATACCATTTTTGTCACTCTGATTGCCATAACCATTACGGACGTTTTAACGACAGGAAAACTGTCCGCTATTGCTATTTGCTAATTCTGTTACTGCTATCATTATTATCATTCATGTAATTTATGTTTTATGGATGGAGAAAAAATGTATATACGAGTGAAGTGATGAATGGGAGCATTTGTAGGGTTTGTTTGGCCGAATATGAATAAAAGTAAGAAGAAAACTTCGAATGTAATAATGATAGTAATACAAATATTAGGTTCGATGGAGAGAAGGATACTATAGTAATAATAATTATCATAATGATGATGATAATGATTACGACAGCAATAACAATACCAGTAATAATAATGATAATGATAATAATAATAATAATAATAATAATTATTATTATTATTATTATTATTATTATTATCCTCATTATTATTACTATTATTATAAAGATAATAATAATAATAATCATTATTATTATAACGATAACGACAATAACAACAACGTCATTAACAACAACCATAATATTAATATTAATGATAATAATAATAATAATAATAATAATGATGATAATAATAATAATAATAATAAAACAATAATGATAACAATAATTATTATTATTGTTGTTATTATTGTTATTATCATTAATATCATTGTTGTTATTATTGTAATTATCATTATTATTATTATCATCATTAAGGTTATCATCGATATTATCATCATTAACATTATCAGTAATCAAGAACAAGAACAGAACTGAATAACCCGAAGAGAGCGACTCACGCAGAAGGCACAGCAAGCTCGCCAGGATGATGATGACCGACTGCTGGCCGAGCACGACCCTGGAAGTCCTCGGAGCGTCGCATGGCTGGAAAGTCTTCTCGCTGTAGTCCGTGGCGTTGAGGTCGTACAGGCGGTCGTTGTGGCGCAGCTCCAGCACGCAGCCGGAGAAGGAGTGGACGGAAGGCGGCGTGAGAGTCCATCCGTAGGAAGCAGACAGCTTCGCGAAACGCACCTCGGAGGCTGTGCCCCCGACCTGCATCGGGCCCTGGACGTTCAGCAAGTGCCTCGTGCTGCGGTAGGGGCCGGGCAGGAAGAGGGACTTGCGGCAAGGGTCCGAGACCTCGAGGGTCCCGTTGATGCCACAGTCCAGGACTTCAAGTGTGATCTCGATCTTGTCCCAGGAGAGGACGAACTCGAAGGACCTCGCGGTGTTCTCCTCAATGGGAATCGACATGTTCAGTGTTCCGGACCCGAGATCGAGGTACACTTCCAACACCCAGTTATTGAGGATCACGTAGAGGAAATCTCTCGGGTAGTCTGCCCAAGGACTCGTTACCATGGGTCCCGTATAGAACAAGACCCCGCTGGCGTCGTTGGTCTCGAACACCATGGAAAAAGTCGAATTCTCGCACACGTTCGGCGGCTCATACCAGGCGTAGCCGCGCTCGAACCTCGCCGTCATCAGCTCGCAGCGAGGGCCGTAGTTGGTGTCGTCCAAACAGGTGCACGTGAGGGTCCTGTTGACCACGTAACAGGTTCCTCCATTATAACAGAAGCCCTCAAAGCACACCGAAGGAAGAGGCTCCAGAGCACCGCAGTCGCAGGTGTAGTCGTCCGTGATGTCCACCCCGACCATGGTGGAGGT